ATGTGACTGCAACTGTGCTTACATTTTTAACTTCAGCTCATCCCAGGACTGTGATAATTGGCAAAAAGAGAATTGATGTTTGTGTTTACATTCCTTGGAGAGGAATGTAAGATTACAAAAGAAAAAGCAGGCCCAAAATGAGGAATATACATTGAAAGGATGCACTAGCATCCACTGTTTGTCTAATGTGCTTGGAGCCTTGGGAAGCTTAGGAGGCAAACAAAAGCTGAAGGTATGAAAGTGGTTAAAGTTTTGTCAGTTACAGGCAGCAGCTGGGACACGGAACTGAGCTTGCAAACTTGTGGCCAGTACTTTTCAGGGAAGCACAGTGTAGAAAAGCAGTTCAGGAAAAGACCACTTCCTGAAGGGAAGGGAAGGGAAGGGAAGAAAATGGGTCAAGCCCAGGACAACATGTATTGAGTGTAATGGCAAACACCTGATTGAGAAAGAGACTCTGTAAAGCTTGCAAATGTGTGCCTTGGTTGCAAAGTTATTTTTTGGCACCATCATAACTTCAAATGGTCATTGCATGAGGCAGCCAGTAAACATATTACACAAAGGTTCTGCAGACAATCATTGTGTTCTTAGCTTCCTTATGTCCTCATGGAAATAATGATCTTGGAAATTATAATTCTGAGAACTGAGAGATTTTGAGAATTGGGCTGATGATTGAAGAAATCTTGGGGGGAAAACTTACAAATACACTTCAGTTGCTATTTCTTGTTGTTAACAAAATAGCATTAGAAGTCAACTGTGTGTTGGGAAAGGAAATCATGGGCTGGAACATTTATCCCCGAGTGTATAGAAGAAATGTTATCTGGTTTATTTTGGCAGCTCTGCATTAACTTCTCTGCCCAGAGATTCCTGTTTGACTAATGTGATCTGAGATAAAGAGGGCTATTGCCAGATGTCATTTCTCAGTGGAGCACAGAAGTGATTAGGTTTCCCATTAGTGAAGCAGTGTCAGTAAATCACAGCAAAAGTGCATTGCTATGGTAGACCTTTAATACAACGGATACATTGATGGCCAGCTTGTACTGCCATTTACTGTGCTTTGAGACAATCAAGAAGTACAAAAGTTAAATATTCAGCAACAGTTGTAGCTTAGGAGTACTAAAAAGACAAGACTATAAGAGATCTACTAGCCAGGCAACTGCTTTAATCATCTAATAATAATATAATGCCCTGAACTACGATCATCTACTGAAAAGTATGATTCCTATTCATGAGTTCTTTTAGCTCTTGTTTATCATGCTAATTAACAAAGGATTGTCTGAAAAAATGGAATAAATAAGTGAAGCATATCATTCTTCCCTTGGCAAATCAAGGTGCTTCTTTTTTTTGGAAGTGAAAGTTAAGTTTGTTCTTAATAATGCTTAAAACTGGTTGAAATCTGGTGGGCATTTCCTTTATTTTCATGTCTGCCATGCTGATTAAGAATTTGTGGTCTCATATATCAAGGGAATAAAATGTTCTTAATTAATTAAGCCTTGGGTTCTTTGGATAATATTGGGATGTTCCAATTTATTCTACATATATATATAATAAAATAAAATCATGATAAAACCCCAAATGTAATTATGTAAGAGAAATCTACTCCCTTTGGGATTGCTATAAAGTGCAACCCAAACGAATAATTCCTTTTTGTTTGTTTTTATACATGACACAATTTTTCACAGACTTAATTTAATAAGTTTTATAGCATTTGCAAATATGATTCTGACTTTAGTTTCAAACAGATTGATTTCGGCAACTACTATGCACAATTGTTGAACAGCTGCTAGGAACATTTTGGAAACTTTAGTCTGATATTACATCATTCTGAAAATTAGAAAGAACTTGATTCATAAAGTTCATGACCTTTGTTGTCTCTGTGCTAATGCTTATAATATTGAAATTAATTATATTAAAAAATTGAAATGTTAATAGAAGAAAAATACGATATACTAAATATAACTGAGACCTAGAGATATCATAATTGGAAAACAAAGGATACATCTATTTCAGAATGAACAAATACAATAGAACTGGAAGAATATAAAATGCATAAATCTAGTCAAATGGAGAAGTATATTTGCAGATATTTGACTTAGAAATGTACATGTGAAAATGAACTTCGAATTGTAGTGGAACACAAGCTAAATATTTAGGGATGTAACACTGAGTACAAATTACCTACTAATTTTTAAAATGTCTGTATTCAATAGTAGAAACTAGTTCATTCAGCATGGATCATTACATCTTATACTGATAATAATCAGCTCAAGCCATTCAAATGTTAGTAAAGAATAACTAATGGATCAAGTTCTTGAGAATTTGATCACAGATAACATGGCTTTAATTTTGATCAAACATTGTGGTAGGGATACCTCTCCTACCTCCAAAATTATTGCTTTGAATTAATGATCAGAATTCACTCAACTATTGATTTTTTCCCCTAATACTTATTTAGAATTTGGCTTTTTCTTTGGGGTCTGATTGTGGATTCAGAGGGACTTGAGTGTATCTCCCTCTGTGTTTATGTGTGTATTATTTATATATATAATAATTTGATATTGGTTGTCAAAATTTTGTTGTTAAAATAAAATATATTTTATTGCTTATTTTAATGTATGAAAGTTGCCTAGAATAGATAAATTGATTAAATAAATACATACATTAGTAAAATGTTCACATGTATGCAGGTTTAATGTATTGCACAGGTAGTCAACTTACAACTGAGATGAAAAAATAATTTTGTGACCACTTTTTGAATTTATGATCTTTGCAAATCTCTAAAGTATAGGAAAGCTGAAGTAAAATTATAATATTTCACTTAGCAACTGTTTTGTTTAACAACTGTTTTGCCAGTCCCAGTCCCATTGTATCACTATACAAGGACTACCTGTCTTTAAAAACAGAGTAAATATATTTATGTTGAAAGGATTAAAAATTAAAATGTATAAGGAAAACACTGTTATGTATTCAGTTTACCACAGATTGGACGTTAGGAATATATTAAATTTGAAAATGCTGCTTATCTGCTAACAAATGTTTTAGGTAATATTCTTGACAGTAAAACAAAAAACAATTAAAATTAATTTATCTTTGTTTTAGGCATGTCAGCAGCTAAATTGTTGTTTGAATCGGGACTTAGTGTGGTGGTTTTAGAAGCTCGTGACAGAGTTGGGGGAAGGACTTTCACCATTAGGGTAAGCAATTTTTTTAAACAAATGTAAAAATATCATTCATTAAGTTTTTTAATTTTTAGTTTGCAACATTTTGGAAAGAGATGCTAATCTCCTAACCATGCTAACTGGGACTGTTGGAACTGCAGTTGTAAGTTGGTCCAGCCAGCACTTAGTGACTTAAGTTATCACTGGCAAGCGAGGACTCTCTAAACTGTGGTTCTGTCTTTGCAGCTTCAGATTTCCATTTTTTATATTGCAACTTCAGCAACTCAGTGTCCCAGGGGCTTTAATCTAGCCATGTCATAAGCACATTAGTACTTTGAAAGATTCTCAGCAATTTCATAGTAGCATTCTCCGACACAGTATGAATTGGTGCCATTGTCATTTACACGATTGTCCTCCTCCAGCATCTTCCTATATTGCTGCTGTGGGTGACCCTGCTGAGAACATATTTCTTGCCACAAGTTCCCAATGTTCTTCACTACTCCTTCCAAGGAACATGCCCACCACAATGAGGCAGGACAGCAGAACTGAAGGGCATTTAACTGTGTTTTAAGTTAATTTAATGATATAGAACACAGGCCATGCCTTGAAGACTCTTAGGTAAATTTCAGCTATTTTTTTTAATAATGGACATGAGCATTTTTGTTGGTGTGATTGGAACATTGATTATTATTTCTGTTGATTTTTCTTGTTTTGACAGAACCAGCAAGTAAAGTATGTCGATGTTGGTGGAGCCTATGTGGGACCTACACAGAATCGGATTCTGCGACTGGCTAAAGAACTTGGGATAGAAACTTACAAAGTGAATGTACGTGAGGCTACCCTCCTACATACAAAGGTAAGAATCTCATTTGCTCTGATCACTTCTGGAAACATACATAATTGAGTGGATTATGTTGTGGGGGATTCAGGTCCTAGGCCAAACTTTACTTATTCTAATTGTATGCTGTATTTAGTTTTGTGTGATGCAGAATGATAATAAACAATGTGGAAGGGGTGCACTGATGTTTTAACAAAACAAACTATGCTAAAATATACCATTTCTTATAAAACTTTATATTTTAATCATTGTGGTTGCATAATTAATGTCCCTCAGCAGCAATCATAATCAGAGTTTAAGACTCGTTCTGTATACATTGTCCCAGTATGGACTGGAACTCATAGACTTACTTGTAAGTCAAAAAAGAGGGAATTAACTTGCAGCTCTTGTCTCCAGGCTATAAAAATCTAGAAGACCACTTGATGGCATTGAAGAGATACAGAAAATTCTTCCAGAGTTTTGCAGGCCAGATACAGTAGACCTACTTAACTGCAACATAATAATCAGCAGACTTGTTTGTGATAATAGTATTAGCTGCTGCTTATTTTAGTTGGATGAACATCTTAAAGTAACCAAGCTTCTTTGGATGAAAGCCTGTATGAAGGTTCTACCAATAATCTTTATCTTCTTAGAATAAGTAGACCCTTATTTATTTTTGTAATACATTTATATAGCTGTGGTAGATCTGTTGGATTATAACTTTCATCATGAAGAGTTATACTCCAACATTTCTGGAAAGCATTGACTTGGGAAAGGCTAGGCTAAATTGATGTTATGAGTGAAGGCAGAAGTTGGATGGATCTCCAGTTCCTACATGCAGTTGCACTTGACTCAGAAGAAAAGTGTTCATATTTGAACAACATGAATTGAATGAGAATCTAAAAAAATCTTATGGCTGCTAGACATTCAGTTTTTTAACACTATAAAAAAATCAGAAGACATATAGCAAAGGAAATTGACTTTTGTCATAGTTTATGTAATATTTGTAGGCTTCCCTGGTTAGTATATACACTTCTCTACTGGGTGAATTTTATGTCATAAGGATGCTGGAATGGCTCTCATATTATTTTCCAGTGTGGTAGACCACTCTTTAAAAGATTCTAAACACATGAGAGAAGCAGCCTCCAGCAGAGTCTTTGTTTCAAAGAATCAGGAAGGAAGGAAGGAAGGAAGGAAGGAAGGAAGGAAGGAAGGAAGGAAGGAAGGGAAAGAAAGAAAGAAAGAAAGAAAGAAAGAAAGAAAGAAAGAAAGAAAGAAAGAAAGAAGGCTCTAAAAATGAAAGAAAAGAGAAAAGAGGAATAGAGGAAAAATTGATGGAGATAAAGACAGGTGAACTGGAAAGTATAGACAGAAAACAAGAAAGACAAAAATTCTGCTTAGGTTTTACAGAAAGGTTTAAATTCATCGGAAAAGCACCTTGTCTTATCCAACTGGTGTCATGGTTCCGATAGATGAAACCCATCAAAAGAACTTCAAGGCAAGAATTCTTCCTTAAAGAACATTTTATTCAGGAAACAATATATCGGCACTACATAGTTGAATCCAAAACTAAATTCCCTTCCCCCGATAGAAAGTAACAAATTGCAGTTCCCACCCCCAATAAGCAGTCATAAATCACGTTCTCCAATTAGCCTGAAATGCTGGCTTTCTCTCCAGCTCCTCAGCTCGCCAAACAGTTATCAGTTCGTCCTTGAGTTCCCACAGAGCAGCGTTATTATTAAGGCTAGCTGATATCAAGCATTCATCCCAACCCCCCTTCTGCACCTATTTCTAAATAGAAGAAAAAGCATGTTAAAAGCAAAGTGGAAATGGCTGCAATTTTCATCAGTTGTCAGAGCGGGAACATTCAATGTTTACAGCGTTGACATCTGGCTGATCCTCAAAGAGAATTCTGTTTTGCTTTTCAGCAATTCTGTCTCAAGCCATTTGTATTTCTGTCTACTCCTTTGCTCTTTTCTATTCAACAGCAAGTGTAGGATGACTCTCCTCTCCAATTCCCTAGTAACTGTTGGGTCAGGATGATAATCTGTACTTTCTATAATGTAAATACATGTCTGGTCATAAAGCAAAATGCTATGATTACAAGATTCATGTTTCATTTAAAAGCATTTGATAACTATTGTACACACACACACACACACACACACACACCTAATGCACTGATTTTTTTTCTAAAGCTCAAGGTAATATTCAAAGGGCCAAACTTATTTTAATTCCTATAACAACAGCACGAGGGTTCAATGCTCTTTTTTCAATGTATGTCCTTCTCTCCAACACATGTAAAAGTAAACTGATAATTAAATGAAAGTAATGAAAAAGACAGCAGTAAAAGAATTTGAAGCTAATATTGAAATTTTGTTTTATGCTTTAGCTTACATTTGTATTTCTCAATCTGAAAAAGAAAAGCAATGAAGAAGCCAAGATTTGCATTGCATTTTTAGTCTCCATGTGTTAGATTGATTTCTAGATTTGCTATTCAATGCTGCTGAATATATTTATAATAGACAATTGACTGCAATTACTATAATTAAAAATAACTATTACATATGAATATTTAAGATTAATAAGAGAGGAAATAAATCAACTACTCAGTTACTTGTTCATTTTTCTGTTTTAGGGAAAATCCTATTCAATGCATAATATGTTTCCTTCTACATGGAACCCTTTCATACATCTAGATTACATCAATTTCTGGAGAACAATGGATAAACTGGGAAAAGAGGTATGCTGGGAATAATGAATATGCATGCAACTGACTGGAGCAATAAAAAATTATTCATCAAGTTTTTCATCAAAGCTTACAAGGAAAATTTTTAAATCACAGTATACTGACAAAAAGTATTCAGGAAGCAAACATATTTTTACTTACTTTTAATGCAAATATTGAAATCTCCAATGGTAAAGTGAAAGGATTTTGTTTAACAGGCAAATTACAATGTCCCCTATAGTTTTCTAGAAGAAAATACATCAGAGACTCACATTAGTCCTTCCTTCCCTATAAGATACAGCACCTCCATTCTTCTACATTTTAAATAGGAAGATTATTAGACGATTATATAGGTGATTATCATTTAGTAACCACAATTGGGACCAACAACTATATCACTAAGCAAACTGGATGCTAATTAGGAAATCACATGACCCTGATTATGCTCTCCTTTCCCCCCACCTCCTAGCCTTTTGAAATGCTCATCTCTGTGGCACTGGGATAGCCAACTCAAAATTGACAAAACTAATCAGTTTCACACCTTCCAGTTTTGTTTGGCTCCTAACCCCTCCCCCACCCTTTGGAATGCTCTTCCTGGAGCTGGGATAATTAACAAAAATGGAATTAATGTTCATATTTACAATCATTGGAGAGGAGGGATTTCAAGAGAGTAAGCAGGCACACAGTGAGGAATGCTCATTGAAAGTAATGTGCTGGTGCCAGCAGTCATAAACAAATGATGAAAATAGCCTGGAATAATTGCTTTCAATATATGCTCCCCATTGTGTGTCTGCTGATTCTCTTGTAATCCCCCCCTGCACCCTGCAAGGGAGGGAGGGAGGGAGGGAGAAGAAAAACAGGTAAGTCACAGGAAAAACTTACTGATTATGATGATAATCACTTGGCTGAGAGATGCTGCTTCATAGATATCGGCATGTAAAGTTCTTTTTTCAGTACCATTGAACTTCAAATGTTTACTGACCAAGGCACTCAGTAAGAACCATCTGTCCTTATGAAATAAGAAAAAAAATCAGCTATAGGAGATTTTTGTAATCAACACTAAAATATACTTTGTATTAGAGATGCGGTTCGCTTGCGTATGTAGCATTGTAATATATCTCAAAACGTTTATCCTCATGGACTTATTAACTATTCTTATTGATCAGAGCAAGACCCTTGGCTGGATATAGATTTACCAATTAAATAGATTTTTAACTTCAGAGAGCATGATCACTAAATCTTCCAAGACAAAAAAAGTATCTTTCTAAATAACTGTCATTGTTAATTGAATCTGATATACACACTTTTAAAACTGAGTGGAATAGAAAAATTAGATGTTTTGTCTAAACCAGGGGTGTCAAATTGCCGGTCCATGGGCCAGACGCGTCATCCGGAAGCCACACCCACCCCATTGCCGGCAATGGCAAAACCGTCTCGATACGTTGCGTGACGTCACATGATGTCACGAGTTTGACATGTCTGGTCTAAACTATGGAAACTGTTTTAGTATCACTATCAAACATTTTCAGTACATCTTAGATTACAGCTTAATCAATAAAGCATTATATTTCAGATGCATTGGACCAAATTATCAATTATACAGAAAAGAAATGAGAAAATCACTACAGATGCAATGAAAATATGCTTCATTAAAACATACATTTTTGCAATGTCTTAAAGTTATTATGTTCTAGAAGAAGTAATTGTATATATGGCTTTGAGACAAGCTTTAATATTTTTGAATGCCCAAAACTTATTGCACTACATATCTGTTACATGGATATTGATGACTGGACAATAAAAATAGATTTTCCATGCTTTCTTTTTGATAAAACCTTTTTGTTTGATATTGGAAAGCCATGTCATGACTTTTATTGTTTTATCAATGTATAAAATTCAAAGAAAAATTAAAATAGAAAATTAAGGGAAAGAAAAAGAGAGGAGAAAATATGAGGTACAAGGGAAGAAAGAAAATAGCGCTGACTTCTGACTCTTTTTAGCACAGTACAAGATAACCAAATTCCAGCCTCAACTTTTTATTTTTATACATTAATATATGTCTAGCCATTTCTATAACAACAAATCTATCTAATCTGCAAAACCAAAGTCAAAGTTTCATTTTTTTATCACAAGTACAAAATCCAGAAGTGATATCCAAATAAAAAACATAATTAAATATATTCTCCTCTTTGAATAAAGCAATCAATTTAACAATTTCTGCTTTATCTTCCTTGATGTGGAAATAATATGTATTTCTATTTGAATTTAATAATCTTTATAAACTATCACCATTTATATTAACAAAATTCACTGTATTCTTTCAGATTCTTTAATCTTAAAGGGAAAAATACTTTTTTTCATCCATTTTAGAAGACTAAACTTTTCTTTAAAAACATTTCTAAAATCAAAACATTCTAATACATCTTTTTAAACTTCCTCTTAACATACATACTTTAAAGTTCACTTTCAGACCAATAAAATTCCAACTTGCTGCAATTAACTCATTAAATTTAGATCATTCCCTCCAAGTTGTAGAATATTTTTTTCTTCTTATATATATCTATCCTTTTTAAAACTTGAAATTTTTCTTTAAAGCTAATACATCTTTTTCTTTAACTTTCTCTTAACATAGATACTTTCAAATATACTTTCAATAATATTTTACAAACTTTAGGAAAGCATTATATGTAAAGGAAAAAATACAAACTTTAATCAAACTTTAGATTAAGACTTTTTTTCAGTTACAAATATCTGATTGATAAAAATCCATCCGAGTTCCAATTGACTCGTTAAGTTTAAGTCATTCCTTCCAGTTTGTTTTCATGGAATAAAATCTTTTTCTTTTCTGGAATGTTTGTCAAGTAATTATAAGCTTCTCTTTTTCTCAAGGATTTCTCAAACTTCTGTGAGGAAAAAGTCCCAAACTTCCACATTTTCTTGGAGTTCTTCTTTCAATTGTGCTGGGAGGTTTATATTTAAACCATCATAATAAAAATTGGTATCAAGTTTATATTCCAAAATTGCAATTGACTCCTCTGCATTGTCAGCTACTTGTGAAATTGCATTGGTGGCTTGGTAACTTTCTACACATATTTGCATCTCTGAAGTAGTTTGAGAAGGTTTTTTTTAACAGCTTTGAAGCATAGCTGATCTATGAACTGATGGATTTTGTTTAAATATTTTTCAAATACATCTCTAATAATTTACTCCTCCATCTTCTTAACTCCCTCCCCAATCAGAAATCATAAAAATTGGAAAATTTTTAGCCACTCACAGCATAGCAAACCAAGCTACAAATTACTAAAAATAATAAACTGGAACCACAACTTTCTCCCCTTATATTTCTCCATCAACTTTTTTTTAAAAAAAGATAGTCCACACTGTTGTGTCCTGAGCATGCTGAAGCATTCAGCAGGCTCAGAAATGTTGCAAATGGTCCCGGGCAGACAAAAAGCTGCCCAGGACCAGACTGGCTGTCGCCAGTCTTGCACACATGCGCAAGGCGCAAAAACAGCTGGATTTCTATTGGCTGACACTGTCTGGGTTTGGGACATTATAAAAAGCCTGCACGTCTTTTGCTTGTTGCTGGTTGTAAGGAGAAATCAATAAAGAAAGCTTTGCTGTTCACCATGCGTCTTCGTTTAATGCCTGTGACCCGAAAACACAAAACACACTTCCTTATTTTAGCTTGCCTTCAGCAGCATTCTTCCTTATTGTTTAACAATGAAGAAATCTCCAAAATGGCATAGTTCTTCAAAAAGGAATAATAGGCTGTGGCTAAAGAGAGCCTCTTTTAGCTTAATAAAGGATTAATAGTCCTTAAAAATGATTAAGAAATGAAAGGCACAACTTACTGTCCATTTGAAAAATAAATTCCAAAATGGCTGCTTCTTCAACGAACTAATTGCAGACCCACCCCCCAGCTTTCAGCACACAGGCTGCCTCGAAGCACAGCTCCTGAAGCTACTTGCAGACGTTTCCTGTATCAGAGGACTGTGGGGGATAATTCTAGGACTTTCCCTAACCCAGGAGACTCATATGAACAAAGGAATGCCAGTTCCTTCTGTTGATAAATTGAAAAAGCTATAGTCCAGGGAAAAACACTTCAGGGATACTTTCCTGGGCATGTCGTCAGTTGGCCATCTTTTCATTGGAAGTTGAGCCGGTGTTTGTTTTTCTTTTTATGAAGATATTGCAAGGACAATGGATTGAGGCTATTGATACATGAAAAGAAAATCAATTCCCATCCCAATCAACAGATAAACTGTGCATACTTGCAATACTTGGTTTATTTTTAGATTCCTGCTGAAGCACCATGGGATGCACCAAATGCAAAAGAGTTGGACAAAATTTCAATGAAACACTTCATCGACAAACATTGCTGGACAAAGTAAGTGATCCATCACTTATAATGTTTTTACTATATATACTGCATGCTTCTTTGGTTGTTCTATATTCTCTTTTTTCTCAAGTGGGAGATAACCAATTGTATTACAATCGTATCTCCAATCATATGTGAGAATGTTAGAACAGAGTTAAATGGAAGGTGGGGAAAATCAGAAGAGCTTAGATTCTAGCACTTGTCAGCTCTACTTCCAGGTTAAATGAAGCCTGCACATCTTCAGCTGAATGTGGTTATAGAAATACTAAAAAATGAAAAAGCACTGATAGTAACATTGGAACTGCAATGGTCTTTCATTAAAGAAGGAAAAATCCTGATTAACGAAACAGCACCTAATGATTTCTAATATAGCTTTATTCAATAAAATAGATTGGATTTTTTAATATATCTATCTAGCCGTTGAGTTTCAGGCCGTTGCTGATGTCAAAGCTTTGATCAGAAATAAAAATATTACTTAATACCGTAATCACTTAATAGGTTTTGCTGGTGTTCTGCACATTCTGAACATAGCCACTTTGTGATCATTTGTAATAATAGTAGGATTAAATGGTTTATTTTGAAATACTTCACATTTCAAGCATAGAGAAGGCATGTCTAAGGGTGCTTTTCTCCTCAATAGTCACATACGGTTTTTCGTTCCATTATTTGTATTTTGTTTTCAAGTTTTCAACCTGTGATTGATGTGAAGAAGGAAAAATTGCAAAAATAGAAGATTTCTCCAAATTTAGAGAAAGTAAAAATAAAAAGCTACATTTTCCATAATATCTGAATGTATTCACACACACATGTTCTTAAGATTGGCCAGAGATGGAGCAAAATAGAATGAAAATGGAAAATTATAATCATAATAAAATTTGGAGGAGGATTGATCTAAATCAAGTTATTGAACTTTCAGTGGAGGTGTAAGCTGTACTTGACCTTTGAATAGCATACCATGTTCAAAAAGTCATTAAGACCAAGAAGCGGATGGTGCTAGAATACATATCACACTGTTCCCGTTGGGGCATTTTCAGCAAGGAAGATGCAGATTTCTTACTGGCATTCTTTTACCCATTAAAGAAGAAGCCAATAATTGTTTTCACCCATTAATTATATTTATGATAAGCTTAATAAGGCTCCATTTAGAAAAAGAATAATTATTTGGTAATAATTTAAAGCAGAATGTTCCCCAAAGTAAGGAGCATCGCATATTGCAGATATTGAATATGCATCAGGATCCATTGTTTCTGGATTCTTGCTACTACGCAAACCAGTTGCTCAGAGGAGAATCAGTTTGGGATATCACCTATTCCTGCATGATGTCTTATGCTGCTGCAGTTTAAGTGTCCCAAAGCATTGAGTTGTGAATCCTTTTACATTTAGCAAAGTGGGAGCATCTCAGGATATAGTAACAGCAATATATCTTGAAACACCCATTATGCAATTACACACTACACAAATAATGCATAAAGGAAACTGTCATTTACATAACATATCTCTCCTTGTCAAATTAAGGAAATGCACTCTTTATGGTTTTCTGTTCTATTTCATTTCTTAACAAGATAAAATTAATATTTTGTCCCTGCCTTTGCATTGTATACAGAGCTGCTAGGGACTTTGCTACAGCCTTTGTCAACGTCAATGTCACATCGGAGACACATGAAGTCTCTGCTCTCTGGTTCCTGTGGTATGTGAAGCTGTGTGGGGGAACCACCAGGATTTTTTCTATAACCAACGGAGGACAGGTAAAGCAAGTGATTCATTTATCCTTCCTTTTGAGAGTTCAAAATGAATGAATGTGATCCTGCATTTGTGTGATATGGAAAGTTTTAAAGCATAACAAAGAATACTTTCCAAAAAGTTAAAGTAGCTTTTTAGTTGTGGAAATGAGTGCCCATTGTGGAAGGTGGACTGCTATCTTGAGTTTCATTGGCTTCCCCCTGCAGACATCTCAATTTAGAATAACTAATGAATTTTTTATTTATTGGCAGCATTCTTAGATTTCTCCTGAAATTAGATTAATATTGTGATAAACCTTATTCCATTCACCCCTAGTCTATTCAGTACAATATGATTGTGACAGTATAATAATTGTATTGTTTAGTTTCCATGGTTATAACCAATGTCTATACACTCAAAAATCTCTTATAAAATAAGTTTTATTAGCAATTTTAATTATAGAAGTAAAAACTAATGCAAACTAAATTTAGAGAAAGAAAATAGAATGGAAAGAAAGAACATTAAATGCAGGGGGGAAGAATGAAAGAAAAGAAAGCAAAATAATATAATAAAGAAATACATGAAGTGACCTCCAACCTTCATCACAAGTATAAATATATTTAATAGCTCTTCAACCCTTATAGATTTAAACAGATATTTTTCCTCCCATATCCCATTCCATATTTATTTGCTTGCCGACCATACTTCTATCTACTCTATCAAAGGACTCTAGGTATGTAACATCAGGTGAAAAGTTTTTTAAAAAAGGTAGATCAGGACAATATCAAAATCAATCATAGCCAAATAAAAGCAAAGATAAAACCCAAGATAAGTGCCGACAGTCAGCTGGGAGTTCTTCGTTATAACTGCTCTAGCAAAGGCCTTTTATATTTTACATTCCAGTCCCTTAAAATATTTTGTCATTATTAATTTGTTATGATTACTTGAAAATTTTATGTAATGGATATCCTACTGTCAGGTACTTTGTACCAGTTATATACCTCAAACTGTCTTCTCATTTTGCTGAAGTCTTTGTTGTTCCTAGGAAAGAAAATTTATCGGAGGTTCTGGACAAATTACAGAAAAGATAATGGAACTACTCAGAGATAAAGTTAAACTCGAGAGTCCTGTAGTCCATATTGACCAGTCAGGTGATAGCGTCATTGTGGAGACACTGAACCATGAGATATATGAGGTAATTGATTAGCATTATTGCATCACAGGGATTTAAACGAAAACATGCCTGATGCAACTTTTAGCCCAATGTAATTGGCCCCACTATTGCATGTTGCTCTGCATTCAATGTTACTCAAGATGCTTTTCAAGTTGCTTTTATTGATATATTTATGAGAGGTTTTGTGATACTGTAATTGTGATACCATAATTGGCTTCTGACATTTCACTGTCTTCCATGGGTCTTGTTTTCTTGTCTTGATTACATCACTGGACTATCAGTATAGTAGTTGTAGGAGGGGGAGGAGAAGGAGAAGAAAAAGAAGAAGGAGAAAGAGAAAGAGGAGAAAGAGAAGGAGAAAGAGGAGAAGGAGAAAGAGAAGGAGCAGCTCATTTACTCTGAACTGCAATTTTATTTTCAATGTTTTAAACTCTTTTAGAAATGCCATTTTAAAAGGCTCAAAATAGATTGAAATATAGAAATGTTTTTCAAAATGTGTCAAAGGTTTGCCTATGTTGTATTTACCAGGGCAAGTATGTCATTAGTGCCATCCCACCAATATTGACTGGAAAGATTCATTTCACTCCGGAACTGCCAACAATAAGAAACCAATTAATCCAGCGCCTCCCGATGGGTTCCGTCATTAAATGCATGATGTACTACAAAGAAGCCTTTTGGAAGAAGTTGGGTATGTATGGAATCTGTTTTATGACAGTTAAGAATGTTCTAATACCTTCGGATGAAACTTCACATAATATGAACAGTCATAAAAAAGAGATTTTGTTGCCAAAAAAAAAAAGGTAGAGAGGATTAATCAGCAAACATCTGACAAGCTGTAATATATGGCAAGTAGACTGAGATTATCTTACATAGGCCTGACCTGGTTTATGGATGTGTTACAAATACCAGCATTAATATACTCTTTCCTACATAAGATGTAGTGCATTTCAGTATAAGAGCTAGTTGTACTCTTATCAGATTAAAAAACCCCATTTGCTTTCATAAATTCCTTGGAAGGTTAGAAACAGGAACATTTGCAGAATAGCTTTAAATGTTTATTTGCTAAGAAGGAAAGTAAAACTTTGCAAAAGACCATTAAAAATGTTTGCCAGGAAATTATGCTCTGGATTGAATTTTTGTGTTGGTCATTCTCTTTTTATTTTTCTGTCAGGTTTCTGTGGTTGCACAATTATTCTGGATGATGATGCTCCCATTTCAGCAACATTAGATGATACTAAACCAGATGGATCCATACCTGCTCTTATGGGGTAAGAAATCCAGCATTTATCTGTTTGGCTACCAAATACAAATAAAGTTGTATTGAATATTTGCTTATATGTACGAGTCCTAAAAAACCTGAGAGAACCTTGAAAAATCACCTTTATATCATATCAGTTCCCACATTCACGTTCTCAGTTCTGTCTTTTTTTCTTCAGTAATATTAGTTTTTACCACGTGTTGCTGAACTCATTGGACTCTACATAAAACATATAACAGCTGTTCTTCTGCCTACAAGAAAATTCTCTACTTCCATTCCTAGGGAAATGAATATATATTTCATGTCATGATGTTATGTCATGTCATTATTATGGTATTTACTAGTTTTTTCCCTGTACAGAAGATTAATCACTTGCTTTCCTTCTATCCTTGATTAGGAATGCTCAACTCTAAAGATGTGGTTAATCTTAATTGTGGTTTATTGACACTACTCAGCATCATAATTCATGGTTTGAACCTGCCTTGTTCCAAACCATAATTAAGCTACGGTGCTTTGGATTTTGTGGGCATGATTGGCTATATTTAACTGAAATAGATACAGAAACTTCCAAATATCTCAGTCTGTATATCACAAGAAGTGAGGAAAAATACATATGCTAATGTTACAGTCCTTTCAGAATGAGCATGTTGGTTTAATAAGAAGTTTGTGTGTATTTTACATCTCTTAACTCCACAATTTTGCACCGAATTACATGCATTTTACACCCCATGCCAAATAGCAGCATCTTCTTATAGCTCTCTGCTATAAGAGGGTCTTCTTCTGGAAGAGGTCTTCTTCTGGAGTCTATTTATAAATCACCCATACAATTGCCTCCAGATACAGAGGCCACTGCTTCTTGTATTCACTTTCTTCCCTATAGATTCCCACTTTCTTTCCTTCCCATTACATATGCATCCCACACACACACAAAGAGGTGTCCTGCTTCGCAGCATAATGCCAGTACCCCATGAAAACTCCCATAGACCAGATATCAAGAAGAAGGCCAGCTGAGTCTGGCCAAGCATCGCATCTATTCCTCTTCTCCATTGCTGGCTAAATTGCCACTCCTTTGCTGATTGTGACTGTGTGTCACAAACTCTCAGAAGAGTTTGTGGTGGTGGAGATGATATGCAGAATTCTGCTGACTTGCCTCCAGTCACTCAGCACAGTGACTGGGCCCATTCTGAGGTCTTGACCCCAGAGTGGGCCCATGAGGTGGGAGTTCAGTTAAGAAGCACTGGGATTGTCATAACCCACCAGGCTGCTCCATTGTGAGGCAAGAGGTTCTACTTGCAGACAGTGATGAAGGACCTATGCTTTTGGCAATGGCCTTTCACTCTCACAGCTACCGTCTACCATGGATGTTGAAATGATTCTTCTCTTCTCATCCATGTTGACCTGATATGCTCTTAGCTGACCATGGAACTATCTTTTTACACAAGAGCAGGAACAAAGTTCTCAGAGGGATCCACTATGGGCAAGCCCAAATGAACTATGAAGCCTTCACATTTGCCTATTATCCTGGAAAATGGGAGAGTCTCACTCTACAGTTTGAGAATCCCAGCTACAATGGTTAGCATATAACTTTCTACTATATTTGTAGCCGAATAAGTGCCAGGCAAAAACTATATTGGTGATATTTTAAATATATTTTTTCTTGGAGCAGTAATATTGTTCATGTGTGTTGCATTGGGATATATATTCATTTATCTAACACTGATGGAAAATTCTTTTTATATTTAGATTTATCCTTGCAAGAAAAGCCTTTAGACTAGCAAATAGTAGCAAAGAAGAGAGGTAAGAAGCAACAGATTTTGGAAATTTTTCTAATTTAAATGTTTGTTTTTAATTCTCTGAGAATAATTAATTCTGCGTTAACCTACCATTAAAGTTTTGTTTTCCACCTTTATTGTTGCAACACAATAACTTTTCGTAACAAGCTAGTAATCCAGGTTTCCCAAATCCAGTTCCTAAGGGTCAGAATAAATCAGAGAGGTAAAATGGTGGGAAATTTTGTAAACGTTTGGAGAACCTTAACCCTAACCCTAATCTTAACCCTAACCCTGAATGTCACTACATAACCACAGAGTTATAGGAAAGGGACAGAAGACAAAATGAAAGTGTTTCTAATGTACTCCTTCTCAACAGTAACTCAAAATTATGGAAAGCTTGCTGCTTTTATATGTGAATTTTGGTGTAGTTTAGAATAAATATTTCTAGAATTATGTACTGTATTTCTATATCAAAAGTGAATTTCTATTGTGGCTTAACTGTATTATTTGTTTATTTATCTCATTTGTATACTCCCAAATGGTATGCCTTGTGATGTTAGTTTAAAAGCTAGTGATGAATTTAGGCTAGTTTTAAACATTTTCATTCTTTATGCAGAAAGAGAAAAATCTGTGAATTGTACGCTAAAGTGCTAGGATCAGAAGAAGCTTTACATGTAAGGAAGAAGAACATCTAAAATTGGTGGAGTATTGATTGTTATAATATTATGGTTGAGCCATATGAATTTTTAGGATGCATGTTCATAATATATTTAAACTATTTAATGCAGCCTCTTGAATAAAATCCTGAAGTAATGATGCAGCAATGTTTTTCTCAAGCATCAGGTACACAGTAGAAGATGTGAGCTGATAGAGAAGTAGGGGAAGGATTTGAAGTTCATGCTGCAGACAAAAAATGTGAAGTACTGGCTCTGTGGGACAGCTAGAAAGAATAGCTTTTTATTATGCGGTTAACCATTTTGATAATTGTGAATAAGCCTACACAGAACAAAAAGTCAGGGCTTAACCAAAGTAGCATGGTGCCTAGAATGTCTAGGAGTTTGACAAAAAATTGTGAACTTTGGCTAGGTTGCTGAAAATAGCATCTGGAGAGCTATCTGATCATTTTGCTGTTGCCTTTTTTGCATCCATTGACTGGATTGATGCAGCACATTTAAGTCAGCCACTAGCTTTTCCATTGTTCTGTCCTTAGACCTAGCAGCATATAATCATGCTAGCTATGTCAAGGCTGTAATTTTGGAAAATATGCAAGCTCTGTTCACTTCCTACAATCCTACCCAATGTCCTATGAAGACTTGTGCCAAACTTGGTTATATTAATTGTTCCTTCCCCGTTGCACAATATAGCCCCAAGGTGTTTGGGAAGCATTTCCTTTGTTACTGGACCTCAACGGCGCATTTTGTCTTGTAGCACCTTATGTTTTCTGCCATTATACACCTCCATCACATTTCCTGGAAGTTTGACTTTCAAAGTTGTTAATTTCCACAGCTGACTGCATCTCACTTGAGGTGCTGACTAGAAAGTAGTAGTCTGAGTCAAAAATGCTCTGATACAGTTTGGGTTAAAACTGCTTCTTGATTGTCCCTGATATTATCAGAATTCATGGTTTCCCAGGCTTTCTATGTAACAACTGACTGAGTTAAACTGGGTGAATCATCATATTCTATGAAGATTGATCAACAAATTAAATATAATTTGCCTGCTTATCTGAAGGGAGCTAAATCCTACAGCAGCATTCCTGGATTTTACAATACTTAAAACTTTTAAGAATATGGGACAACATTATATTGTTCAGCAAATGTAATATTCATGCCATTTTCAAAGATATGAATTGTACCAAAATTACATTCTGTCCATAGTAGTGTCCTCACTGTTCCATAAATTTCTGTCCCTTCTTTTGAGATTCTGCATTTTGCAGCAGAAAAAGAACAATGTTTCTAAAATCCTAAAGCCATTTACTGGTTTAAAGCACCTTAGAGCTGAGCAACTACAATGACATTAGAATTAAACAGTCTTCAGTAAGGTATTTTTATTATCAGTCTTAGGGCAAATACCAAATCTTGTAAATTGCAAGAATTTCCAATCTCATTTATAGTGATTTCATTATGATGGAGTCTCTTTGAATTATTTGAAACAGTTTTTTCTTGCAACATGAGCGGAGTTGATATTTACAAACTAAACTGTAAACTTGTCTTCTTTTTCTTAATTATTCATGTATACTCTCTCTTTTGTTACTTACCCACTCTGTCCACAATCTCTCACGTTTATGGGAACTCATTAGAATTATCTATTCTTTTTGAACTCAGTGAACAAGACTAGCTTACTTTTAAAATAGATATGATTTCAGATGACAACAGATTAAATTGTAGGTTGATAGTCTATTTTTAAAATCAAAATACCATAATAGGAAAAAATATGACTTGCTGTAATTTATTGGATATAACTTCTGATTCCTCACCATGGGATTATAATATTTACAAAGAGTGTGAGTTCTGAAAAATACAGCTTTTCTTCGTTAAAAAGTTGAAACAATAAACATTATTTTCCAATTTTTTGAGGGGGGTAGAGTCCAAATAAAACTTTTGTTCATTCAGTAACCAGGAAATGTGTTACAGTATCTAGCTGAGCCAAATTGTTCAGATAGACTCTATCAGCATGCAGCCTATGAAGTTTAACCTAGTACTTTTCAGTTGATATGAATCTGCTTCTATGTAATCATTATCTAGTAATCTCAATTTTAATCCTGCCAACATGTTTTTGAAAGTTTGTTTTATTTCTCATTGTGGTTTATTCTTACAGCCAGTGCATTATGAAGAAAAGAACTGGTGTACAGAACAATATTCTGGAGGCTGTTATACAGCATATTTTCCACCAGGCATTATGTCTCAATATGGAAGGTAAAACAAAATAATAATGTTCACTTTTCTTGGCATTGTTCCCCCTCAGTTTTTGGATATTTGACAAACTGTCGGAACAATGAGCTAATCTCATATTTGAAAGAAAGGTTTATAAAAATACAATATATTTGGCAAAAATAAAGTTGCAGTTAGTGCCTTTGACTTTAGTGCTGTTGAATAGAAGAATCAAATGCAAAATCAGGGCTTAACAACAGATTATTATTTGCAGATATGATCTTGGAATTATGTGGAAACTGTTCAAATGGTAATGTCTTAGGGTAGCATATTTGCTGTTCTGGGAAAAGGAAGAAAGTTAAATGGAAGGCTTCACTCTCTTTCAAATGGAGTTGGGCTACATTTACCCTTCAGATACTTAATATGCCAAGGCAAAATAAGCAGATGCTTTGCTCCATACATTCCTTTTATTTTCACTAATTTGTGAAAAAAACAGCCTTTGAATGAAATAGATCTTGAAATATGAGAAAATATAAAAGTATTCTTCCTAATTCAGGTGCACCGGCATCCCAGGTATAGCTGGGATTAAACATTTATTCATAACAGATTAGAGTTGTGGAAAAAAATCTTACTACTTGTGCAAGTAGCAGCATGGTAAGGCAAATGGGTAGCAAAGATATGTCGCTTCCCTTCTAGCCTTGAAACACTACCATATTGGGTGTACAATTTGGTTAAGTGTATGAAAAGCACCCCCCCCAAAAATTAAAACACACAAAGAAGGATGTTGCAAAATGTTTGCGTTCCTTGAAACAAAACTTGACAAAGTTGATGGAAAATGTAAGATGCCACCTGTTTTTGTTCATATAAACATATTAGCTACAAGTGGAATTACTATCTCTCTATTTTATTTGTATGTGCTTTCTTTAAAGAATAATACGTGAGCCCGCTGGCAGAATCTACTTTGCTGGCACTGAAACAGCAACCCAGTGGAGTGGCTATATGGAAGGAGCTGTGCAGGCTGGAGAGAGAGCTGCTAGAGAGGTAAGCAGAACCGCTGCTATTGGCCACCTTCATGAAAGACCCAAATAAACTAGTTTTATTTGAAAGATGATCTGGGAACTTGGCATTGATACTTTCAGTATTGCTGCACCAAAGAAAAATTAGAATGACCAAAGAACAATGAAATATATACCAAGATACTGCGATACTTTTTTTTTTTTTTTTGATACCTGACTGAAATTTCTAAGACAAAGCATTTTTCAGGTCTACCTTAATTTTCCAGCCAGTGGGCTAATTTAGTAAGCCTGAATAAAGGGAATAACATGAAGTAGCTATTTAATTTAAAGCCTTTGCAATGTTATATACCACCAATGGAAGGCAGTTCACATATTCCATGAATAAGGCAAACCTGAAGTTATACGAGCAAAAATGTCAAGATTGAATGTTGACATTCTGAAAACTGAAACTGAAATGGTCTGGAATGGGTCACTTCTCATCAAAGGGTATCAGATCTATTACTGCAGACAAGAATGAGTAGCCTTCTTGCATAAAAGAAATGGAGTAGCCATCAGTATTAACGAAATAGTATCAAAATAATTAAATGATACTAGATTGGAAGTAGTAAAATTTAGAGCCGAAGGAGCCCCTCTTGGATCTAGAATAGGAGGGAAGCTGACAAAACTGATGGATTTTATCCATTACTGTTATGAACACACACTGTATTTGGACTGATCTGGATTGGATGGGACTGGCTCTTATGTGACTTTATCCTAAGGGGTAAAGGAGTTACTTATTCTGGTGTTACTAATATTTCTGGTGTTAGCAACATTTGAATTAGGAATTATATGGAAAGGCCAGTAAATGATGTTTACCGCATCAGTTCTTTATTGACCCCGAAGCCAATGCTGTTTACTTTATCTGTTTCAAACATTTGTCATTTGGGAATTCAACATAAACAGATATCTGAGCTGTACATTCCATAGGCAGATGGTCTCTTGGTAGTTTTAATAAATCTCTTCCATTCCAATTGCATAATGTGTATGATACAAAAATATAACTTTTCTCTTCCAGATATTGCATAGCATGGGGAAAATTTCAAAAAATGAAATTTGGGTAACAGAACCAGAATCAAAGGTAAGTGTGCTCATAAATGATCTTCCAAGAACTCTGATTATTCTGAAAATACCAGTTTGTTGAGAATATGTTTAAAGAATGCATTTCTTATCAGCGGGGATATCCACAGTTTAAAATCTTTGCTATTTCTTGCAGCATTTTACTTCTTCCACCATCTGACAGATACACAGGAAATTGTATAGAATACATAGCTTGAAGTAACTCTAAGTGCTTGCGATACCATTACAACTTGGTATACATGCATTTTAATAGTAAAATGGAGAGTAGAGAGATGTACCATAGAAACTGAAGTTATTTTGTTTAAAATAATGAACTTTGTTTTCCCCTTCCTTCCTCTAACTATATTTGTACACATTTGGCCCTTTTCCAGCACTGCTTTTCATAGTGCCTACTTGCACCTGTATTTCCGCTATATATATTCTTGCTTCTAAGTTCCTTTATGTTGTCCCTGGTCATGCTCCTTTTTGTTCCTTTCATTTTCTTCCTTTTAAAAATGAAAAAAAAAACAGCTAAAAAGAATTAAAACAAGAAAGGGGGAGGGGGAATGGAAACTGAAACTACATAAATACTTATAAATATATTTTATTTATTAATCAAATTTATAAAGCTGCTCATTTCACCAAAAGCTACTACGGGTAGCATACACCAACCAGATAAAAACCACAGATATAAAGACAACAGATCTAACTGATCTGTTGCCTGATCTAATTGGGCAGGTTGAAATAACTGGAGAGAGGTGGTCCCTCAGAAAGCGTGGTCCCATGCCATGAAGGGCTTTAAAGGTTAAAACCAGCACCTTGAATTGGACCCAGAAGCAAACTGGTAACCAATGCAGTGTGCGGAGCAGAGATGTAGCATGCGTTGTTCTAGTAGCAAACATAACTTCTGTATCATTGCACTCTGCATTGCACAGCTGAAGCTTTGAGATACTCTTCAAGGGCAGCCCCATGCAGAATGTGATGCAGTAGCCCAAAGAAAAACAAGCATTTTAATCATCCATGGGAAGTATTACTTTACAGGATGACATTTGCACATACCAAGGTGATTATTCCTGATGCTTGGAAGAGTGATGGTAACTAAGTGAATATGTGATTAAGAAAGAGACACACAGAAAGGGAGAGACATTGTGAAGATCACTAATTCTCTTATTCTCTTTCAACCATGCCAGCATAACTCTCACTTTCGTGTGTGTTGTTGTGAGGCACACAAAATTTGGTTATAAGTGCACACATTGTTTGGAAAATGATTTTTTACTGCCTTTTATTACCATAATTGTGAATATTTGGTAAATGAGGTAACCAATATATAAGGTGTGGCTGTAATAAACTCAATGAATAGAAACCAGATCTGAATGCATTTACAGTATCTTTATCTGTAGATATTCCAAAGCTCAATTTTTTTAATGATTAATGATAATGGTCCAAGCTATTTGCCATACTTATAGATACAATTCAGTGAAATGTGCATTTTAATTTTATCAGTGTTTTGCATTAATAAACTATGCATAAAAATTGAGAAATTGAGATGTGGCATCAGTTCAACAGTGGAAAATAGATGCTCAACTGCATTTAAGCAGTTTCTGAAAAAAGAAGTATATCTAAGTGTGTGTTTTCATAGAATTAAATACCACTGAATTGAGGTAGTGTTGCAGCTTCAAGCTACTCAGATGGCCCTGCTCTAACAATTACTGTAAATATGTTTCATCCTAGGAGGTTCCAGCGATTCCAATTACCACTACATTTTGGGAGAGAAATTTGCCATCTGTTCCTGGACTGCTGTACTTTCTTGGATGCTCTACTTTCATCACCTCATTGGCTACAACTGGATTCTTGGCGTACAAAAAGGGACTTCTTTCCCGATAATGTATCTGAGCCACAATTTTCCATTTATTTCCTTCATGCTATGAATTCTGTTCCTGAAAAGCTGTCTTTCATGCCCTTTGGAACACCTGGGTTAACACATCCCAACCAATTTAATTCACTTTCCTTTAGAACACAAAGTGAGCCAGGAAAGATTTGCTTTTGTTTCCTGAGTGACTTCCTGCTTAAAAGTTGGTGACCCCTCATCATATCTTTCTGTGTAATGTATACTGTAATGAGAACAAAGCAGGCTTGTCATAATCATTGTAAAAGTTCCACATGTCTTTATGTTTTCAAAATCTTATGACGAACAAAGTGAGTGCTGAAGGCTTACTCCAACTTCTCCCTTCCCCAGTCTGTTCCCTCTGGTTGTGTTGAACTGCACTCTACGTTGGTGGAGTTTAAGGGAGGAATGCAGCCAACACATCCTTCAGGCACTGGAGGCAAGGGTGGGGAACGGGTAGGTACTCTACTTGTTAAACTACCTTCATATTCTGTCAAGGGCCTGCTAAATTTCATATGCTGCTGTTTAAAAAAGTAAATGCTGCAAAAAGGACATTGCTTGCGTCCTGCTAGTATTACATTCCCTCAAACCTTGATAAAACAGTACATAATGTGAAAAGGGGAGTTGTGGTATGTGGTGTTAAATTCTGCAATCCAAATACATTGACAAATATTCTCATACATTTCTATAACCTTATTCTTTTTCAGTAAATAACTGAAATATGTTTTCTTCCTTGTCTTCATTCTACGTACAATGAAAACATTTTCTCTATCTTGTCTGTGGCTGGATTTCTAATGCACGTGGTTATTATGGCAGATGAAGAGACTGAATGCATCATGGCACTATGAATATTATCAGGATTCTCTGTTATATTGCACCCGATAGAGTAACCCAGATTAAAAGCTTGTCCTAATGCCGAGGACCCATCATGCTTTGGCATGATATAATATATCCAAATTTGTTTCCAGAATTTGTTTCCCTTTTATTTTGTGTACAATATTAAGGAATTAAAAACAATAAAAATAGAAAAATAAAATATAGCATCAGTAAAACTAGTTATATAAGGGACACACAGAGAGAGAAAATGGGAAAAAATGACAAGTGAAAAAGTGAACACTAATTGATTTTAATCGGAGAATTGGAAAAATAAACATTGGCTGCAATAGAAAAATCATTTAAGACAGACCACCAGCCATTCATGGCAAAACTCCATTGGAGAGGGGTTGAAAACAAATTTCCAGTCTCTCAAGATTGCATACTTTCCACTTTCCTCCTTCATATTTCTAACAACCTGATTTTCCTAGCAGCTGAACACCTTATATTTGATATTCTTTTGATAATTGTATGTCCAGCATTATGTTACTGAAGGAAATTTTTTTGTGGGTATTTTTAGAGGAAGAGATGAATTTTATCAGGAAAAGAGTGGACAATTGTTTAAGGAATTATACACATACAAATATGGACCTACCTGTACCTTATTTTTTATGTTCATGTGATTGGTTTGAAATGAAATGTGTGATCCCATCTACTATGGTTTGTAAACTATATATTATGACTTGGTGTGGCATATTTTTTTTACTGTATTCTGGTTTATTCAATAAGCCATGAAATGTTTCCATAGAGCAGTACGTGTGAATTCAGCCGTTTCTTCATAAATGTGAAAGAAGATATTTACAGCAGGAAATCTAATGGTAGATCTCTACACACACACATGTGTTCCACTTTCAAATGACTATATTCACATTCAACTCTCTTGGCAAGACATCAGTGAGACAAGTGACTACAAAATTTCTTGTATCATTTGTCACAGCCAAATAAATTAAGAAAAGCAAATCAAAAGAAAGTGATGTTTATTCTTTTGAGTGTGAGTTTAAAAAAAGTTCACGCTGCCAGATAAAAATACACATAACACATATTTAAAAGGAAAATGAATATAATAGATTTAATGAACACAATCACCACGGAGGCACTTTTAGAGGAACAGCACAAATTATATAAGGCACAATCACTTACAAAATCCATATCTTGCAATTGGACTGTCACTTTAGTTTTACAAAAGGCAGACATGACAATATATGAGTAGCAAATGGCTCAACAACAGTTTAGGTCACAAGGTATTTCATTAAAAAAATGTTTTTTAAAAAATCCCATCCTACCTTGAAGATTTTGTTAATTTCCTCTGGAATGGCAACATATTACAGAAGAAAGTTTTAGGGAAAAGATGCTGGAAGGAACATTATGTTTAGCCAATTGTAAAACTTACTTAATGGAGAATTGTAACTTACTTTTAATTGCACTGTTTAGAATTGCAAAGGCAATTGTCTTGTCTCCTGTGGATTAGCTTTTGCAGCGCAGTTTGTTTAAGTACATGAAGATTTCTCTTTCTTAGAATCAAATATTTACTTTTATCACTTTAAAAAATAGCTCTTCAGTTTTAGAAGGCTGATTCTTCATACGCTATGGATACAAGTGAAAGGTTTTACACAGGTTTTTCTTATGTTGTGCACTGTAAGCACTTTCTTTGAATAGAAAATTTATCTGGAAAAAGAGACTTGGCAGAAATTAAATGTGCTAATTTCTTGGTGCATATTTTGACGCCTATATATCCAAATTAGGATACCCGTATATAGTAGAAGGGTCTTTTAAAATTATTGTGTGTATGTGACTTATCGTCAGAGTGCATGAATGCATATGTGAAACACATGATTTGACTCCCTCAAGAACTGTTGACTTCAATACTCTGCATAGAGGTTTTGTTTGCTATCCCCATCAAGGCCTATCAAAATGATGATTCTATAACCAAATGGAGATGATCAAATATATCCTGATCAAACATATATAGATGTAATCCCACTTATTTTAAAATAAATTACAGCAGTATGTATTGTGCCTTTACTGACTCAGTGAAAAATTTAAAAACACATTTCCAGTAATATTTGCCAAAGAATAGTCACTTAACATATTATTTAAATTATGCCTTATGTTAATTGCCATTAATAGAATATTCAGAAGAAGTGATTGTTCTTAGTTTGAAAAGATAGCACTATCCTGCCTTTTATGTGAACTTTCTGAAGACGTCTAGCTAGCCAATTCACATCAAGAGACTGCTTGACTGAATGGGCCTTCTTTGGTCTGGAGATATAACAATTCATATACATTTTTGCCTGTCATGTATATAAACTTACACTTTTTTCAATAAGGAAAATTTACAGATGAAACTAAATACTTTATTGAAAGTTATAAGTGAACAAAATAGCTCAGAATCCATCACTGGACTAATAAATAGCAGGACAAAAGTTGTGGAAAGGAGGAAATTGGGATAATGTTTAACTCACTCCAAGTAGGATAGATGTTTCTAACCTATTTTATCCTTGTTTCCAAAATTTCCATGAAGCTTTGCTGCAATATATAATTTAAGAGTTCCATTACATTGCAAAGAGCAGAATGTCACCAAGAATTAAAACCTTTTGATGCGTAAAAGTCTTGGTAAGGAGAGGGGGAAATATCAGATTCAGTAATTAATACTTCTGTTAATGAAGCTTAGGATCAATCCAATTGTAGCCTTCTAGATGAATGGCAACAGAAAACTTATACATAGTTTTACTTACAAGTACACCTTACTGCCCTCCCAGGTTGTGACATCACTGGCTCCTGTAAACAAACTCTAACCAATGTATGTTTGGTGATGTTATCCTCATTCCTATTCTGCTTTGTTCCTCCTTCAGTTAGTTTCCAGGCTATATTTTTCCTCATCCTTCCTTTCCTTTTACTTCTTTCCTTTCACAGTGTGCGTGTGATATTCTCGTCTTTTGTTTTATTTAGAGCTATAATTTTCCAAACACTCTAATTACTTTTTAACCCTTCTCCATTTATTTTCCCCTAATCATTCATTAGTTTCTGCTTTTAAAAACTTATAAAATCATTTTAAATAATACAACTGTGTGGGTGGGCATGTTCCTTTGTTGTGTTAGTTCAAAAATAGGAGGATGAAACAAACATTGGAGTCTGCTTTTATTAACCCTAGCCCTGAATTGGGAACAAAGTCTCCCTTTAGGTTAATCCAAGGATATCTTAAGTTATTTCTACAATCAGGCCAGCTCTGATGTTGTTCTTTCCGAACAAAGAGGTCAAGTAGTTGATAAACATTTGTCTGTGGTTTCCCCACAGTAACCTTTTGTATTCTTTCCGTTCCTTGGTCTCTCACAATATAAGTTACACTGAGGTATTGGACTTGCTTCTGAGAAATGTTATAAAAACATAAGAGCTAGGAAGGCCAAAAGTTCAATTAGTTCAGCCTTTTGCCCAAAGCAGGCTCTTCCACCAAAGCCTATGGATTAGATCAGTTTATGCAATCCAAACTGTACAGCTGAAACTAAGAGCTAAGAATTTTATTTTATTTTTGCTCAGCCATGAGAAACAGTTTCATTTTCTTTATTAATTTCAGCTTTCATCCATCTCATGAAATGAGTAAGAAAAGTGACAAAATGAATTAAAGAAATATGTTCTCAATATTTGCCACCTATTTTAATGCTTGTCAGAGGGGGAAAAGCATTGCTGTGAGTGAATTTTTATAACTGCAGTCTCAGAGCTTAGCTACAAATGAAACAGGCTTCCCAAATACAATCCTATTTAATCATGACAGTTATATCTGAGATCTATTTTTTCCTCAGTTCAACTCCTGCCAAGAATTTAAAGGTTGCATTCTTACAATCATATCCGTTATAGGCAACTGCTTATTAAGTGCAGCCTTTGCCAACCTGGTGCCCTCCTGATGTCTTGATGTACACAAATCCCAGAATTCCCTACCACGTCTTCTCCTGTGGCATTATAGAGGAACAAAAGCACAAACTGTCATACTCTTCAAGTAGTACAATAATTGTAAAATAATTGTACAATAATTCCTTGGAAACTGAATTCTCTTTATTTATACCCAAATTGATATTAAAAGTCTGCATACCAAACACGTGAGTTGTTATTTAATTTCATTAATATATTAGTGACATCAACTGTTGTACATTTTACTACTCCTAACTCATGTCATTGGCAGTACTCTGAGATAATAATGCTGTGATGTCATCACTAAAGCTGTGGAGTTATCCCTTTTGTTGCCCATGCTAGGTGTTTAGGACAGGGAAGAAAGAGAAACAAAACAATGCCAGGTCCTTGATAAAGTTTACTTTGAACCTTTCCTTTGTATTTTTTTTCTTCTGCATGTTTTTTTAAAATGATTTCAACCAACCAACCAACCAATCAAT